AATCATCCATGACGTGATCCACGGCGCGTGACGTCACCCGACGTGGGTAGGCGGCAGAATGCTGGCAACAGCCGGTGCGCCAAGCCGCTGGGGCGTATGCCTTTCGACGGCGGAATTCGAAAATCACGGCATTTCCACGGAAGATCGTGCGGCCATCGTCCCACATCTGCCATGCCGCATGCTGCACCTATAACCATCCGACCAGGCCGCAGCGCATCCCCGCAGAGGCCGGCCGTCCCTGCCGCCGATGTCAGCAGCGCGCTGATGACCGCCGGGCGCCGCTACAGAGGGGCCTGATCGCGCCCGCGGGATGTCCGTGGGGGCCGGCCACGGCCGCGGCCGCGTCAGCATGCCTTCGTGACGTCATCACTCCCAGGACGCCGGGAAAAATTGAATCGGCGGGCGCCGGCGGGGCTGAGGCGGCGCGGGCGCGGCGGACGGCGCGGCTGGCGGCAAATCGAGTTGCTCGCTCGAGGCGAATCATCGGTTTTCGGCTCGGCCGGCCATCGGGCGCCCATTCAGCCCCCCCCCCCCCTCCCCCACCGACAGAGAAGCTTGGTGGTAATGGCGGCTTGGCGACAAGGAGGCCTAACTTGTTGATTCACGTCACTCCGTGCCGTCACCGGACGGATGATTTGATAACACGGATTGGATGACAAATTCAGCACAGTGCTTGGCATTTTTGGAAGACGAGGGGCCTATGAACGTCAGTAGGGGAGAAGATGCAAACCCTTCTAACCAAAACGAGTCAGTTCTTTGCATGCATCACTACAGCGATTCACCTTTACTCAAAGTATGAACAAGTAGCTAACTTCATGCGTTCATTCATTGACCCCACGCACATTGCTTCAGGCCCCGCAAGCAGACCCTCTGTCACTGTTGTTAACGTTACTTGAATTTCACAACGTGACCAATAGCACGTGTGTGATAAATCCACACAACAGAAGAGGACGCTAAACAAATCTATTACTAGCCCTGGCAATTGTCCTGTTGGTATTGATTAACGTTAACCATATTGATGATGTTATTATTGCGCCACAAACCGGTACCTCCAAAGACTAACTCGATCAAGGCAGATTGGGTCTTGATGAGTCGGGCACCCGGAAAAACAGAGAACTGTGCCGTCCTGGCAGCGGAAAACAAACGCAAAACAAGTGCAGGAGCGCCTCAACAAGCTATCTACCTGGAAGAGTAGAGAACCCGGCCGTCCTGGTAGAGCCGCACGAACTTATTCGGCACGGTGATGGTGTGTAATTGGCTCTCGCGTCCGTTGTAGAAGTACGTGTCCGGTTTCCAGATCTTTCCCAGCATGGAGATGCTCAGCGAGAGGACTTGCTTCTCGCCCTTGAAAGCCAGCCGACGGTCTACCCATGTCTGACGGAAGTAGCAGTCGAGGGAGTAGGTCTGTCGACACAGGAGAAGGGCGTGTCAGTGCGCTGCGAGACAAGACATCTTGCCAGGGAGGATGCAAGGCTTCACGCTCTTCGCGCTGCGAGATGCGTCGGTGGTGACTTTACAACTCAACCAGTCAGCGTTATCACTGAAAATCAAATAAACTGCGACTTGTAGGCATGCTGATGACTTGAAAAGAGGCCGCCGTATGACCCAAAAATAGGTCACACACGCATTGCAACAACCACACACTTTCACGACAAAAGACCAAGAGCATATATGGGGAACGTCAAATTTTTTTGTTGTGCAGAATTAGCCATGTGCAAGGCAAACAATCACGAGAAAACATGCCACACAGACCATTCCGCCAGATTATCTAGCCAATTTTCGACGCAATAAGAAAAAATTGTTATCGAATGCAATGAAACAAACTTGCCAACTTCAATAAAATATTAGAGGGAAGTGATTTACTTTTGAATGTGGCTTTGAACTGAAATAGCTATTCTGAAAATCATTCAGTGCAGTTCATAGTCCTGCCCTTCTTAAAAGGAGTATGCTTACATTTGAAGATATTGAAGCAAGCATCAGATATAATGAAACAAGTTTACTGATGGCTTTTGGTGTACTTAAGTAGAAAAGACTGCTTTAGATAACATGGCTTCTCTGTTGAATATATATGCTCATCGATTCGTCATTGTTTAATTACGTCATCGTACCAGGTACAGCATTGATTTAGAACCAATTGACGGCCGCTTTATCTGGAAACCGTGCTCACGAACACCAGATGGAACATTCCGCGACAAGTCGACAGGTCGAAGGGTCAGTTTTACATCCTCATCTCTCAAATTTTGTTTAAAATGCGTCACAGGCGTTTTCAGTATCGCCGAAGACGCCTGTGACATTGCTCAGACCTCTCAGTTAAGTGGTTTATAAGTTACAGCATCCGGCATCTGTGTGTTGTGTGCTTGGAGGGCTACGTTCGGCGGCGATTTTTTTTCGCTACGATGAAGGAAAACCTCATAAACCTACATGTATAAATGATGCAGAAGCCTTCCAGACTACGTATGTGTCGTGTATGAAAACATCATAGCACTAGAACTATCGGTTGTGGCATTATGAATATTTGCAATAAATGCAGAACCATTTGTCTACGCGATTTTAAAGTCTTCTTTTATGCATGTGAAAGAGTGTGGTTTGGGCCCCATAATGCAAACAAAAAAAGGTGGTCATCGGCCTGGAAAGGATTGGAAAAAATGTCCCAGTAAAAGTTAACGCCTCATTCGCGCCATCTGTCACCGACTAGCGGCGCAGTATCTGCCACGCATTTCTCCGCATAGGCGGCGGAAAATGTGCGCATTGTGACAAGACACTAAACTTAACAACATGATGGCTTGCATGCACGTGGAAGTCAACTCAGTGCCGCAGTGACTCAGTCAAAATCACTCTAACTCATCAAAACTCTTCAAAGCAGGCGACCGCTTCCTGCGCCTTCAGCTTCATAAGTTGTTTTCGTGCTCTCTGGCCCAATAGCAAGCACATGCTTTACGTCCTTTCCACCCTCGTAGCTGGCCTTACACGATAGCTTTGGAATGCACATACATATGGCCCTGAAATTGTATGCTTGTTTTTTTCTGTTCATTGCATATTTGGAAGTGTTCTTTGCCCTTAAGATAAATTGCATGATATATGCACCATAATTTATATCACTGGCCCTTGTCCGCCAAATTCGAGGAGTTTAAGAAGTTTCCGGTTTCAGTAAAATTCAGCAGTACCCAATCTAATGCAGTGTGTCTTCATTGCATTATTACAGTATGAACATAGCTGAACATACGAGCACAGTTGATTAAGCTTCTATTTAAAATGAAGAAAAAATATCAGCCTGGCTTACCCAGGGGGGCGAGTGTCTTTGCCGCCCTCAAAGCTCTCAAAACTCAGTGAAAAACTTGCAGAACGCGACCACGAAATTATTTTGCCTTCATTTTCTTCACACCCCTTGCGCAAATGAGTTCCAAGCGGGTTAGGACACTGGCTGTGGTCATCTCCGAGGTGAAACTAGAAACAAACGGCATCCATTATCACTTCGTGAGACATGGGCAGACTTTGATTACACTAATAAAAAAAGTTTTTTGTGTGCTACATGATTCTGCATCTTTAGGTATCATAACATCACCTTAGTATTCTCCACAAGAAAACCGTCAGTTTTTTTTGTCACAACTCGACCCTGGTCCAGTCTCACTTATAACGACCTCTGAAAGCTAAATATGGATCCATGGGATCGCTGATTCTACTCCAAATGACGCGTTCTCTTCGCTGGTATTTCATTTGTTCTGTGTGATATTTAAAAAGTGAAATCCTCTCCAGCCAGCGGAGTGAAGCATTTTGAGGACAGGCCGAGAAACGGTTGGGCGAAAGTTCTCCCTCGGCTTGGACATCAGACTCCTGTTGACATCTGGCGACCCTGACTTTGACCTAAGGTAACAAACCACGCTTTCATAAAAGTCGTCTCAAAAACAGCTTTCCTGTATTGCTCTTAAGTTTCGTGCTTGTTGCATTTGCGTTCTCGGAGATACTGTTCCCTGAAGATTAACCTGAAAATGTCCATGGAAGATATGTGATGCCCTCCTTGCCAATAAATTCGAAATGATCACCAGGAACTACCAAATACAGCAAGCTCTTGAGCGAAAATGCAGGTTGCTGTAGACCTTGGTCTGACTTTCATACCTGACCCTAGGTCAACGAACTTTGTTGTAATTCTAATTGAATTATGGAATTGCCTCAGAAACTATCTCAGAGATGTGTGGCTTCGTTTAGCACTACGTTCTCGCATCAGATCGCACCATTTCCAAAAAAGGACCTTCTCTGACAGCCAAGGTCTGACTTGGACCCGCGATGGGTCAGCAACTTTGCATGGGGCATCTTCTTGTACTTAAGTATCCAATATTCAATAGCCCACAAGTATGCAAAGTTTGGGGCTGCTGCGCCGCGTCGTTTAAAATCTATTATATATATATATATATATATATATATATATATATATATATATATATATACCTTTCGGTACGGGTCAAATTGCTCCCTCTCAGACGCTTGTTCACCGCTAGTAATCCGTACTTACTAGCATGGCGGCAACAACATAACATGTCTTTGGTTTGAGTTTCTTCATGTCGTTGCATTTTGCTCAATGAATCTGAAAATGATCCCTTTCATCTATTTTTCCCTACTCTCAAGCTTATAGGATTATTGTTACTGGTCGCGGAAAAGCTACGGGGACCGACCCTGCGGAGACACCCCGGGGCGGCGCCAACAGGAGCAAGGAGGCAGCCGCCTTCTTGTCGTGGGCCAAGGGGGAATAAATGATTAAGCTCCTTCGAAATTAAGGGAGGCTCTATCATACCGATTGTGGGACCGCAACTGACCAGGACATGCATTGCGTGTTCGCATGGCCCATATCGCTGTATGCACTGTTGAGAAGGAGCTTCGAAAATGCGACAAAGCATTCTAATCAGCGGCACAAGGCACAGGAAACGATTATTTAGCAAGGATCATTTGCAAAAAACACCAATTACGAGTCGCACGATTTCTCAACCATTTTTATTCCAGCATCGTGGTTGGTGTCGTGTGATCTTGCCCCGCTATCAAAAACTGATGGCGCCGTCCCTAGCAAGCATAGCAAAAAATGGATGGCCTCATACATCATGGAAATGATACCCCGAACAGCATCGTCCATGATCAATGGCCACCGCAATAGTTGCCTTCTTACTTGAGTAGACAGCAGTAGGTACCTAAATGATGGCTAATTACGCTTGACTACGACCAACAGCGAGCTTAGATTTTAACCATAAAACTGCTTTTTTTAGAGCTGCATTTATGCTCCAAATGCCATCTGTATGGGTGTACGCAACATGATGATCAACCATGGCATCATCATGCCGCATGACAAGTAAACGACCGACGCAGAAGGTAAACAGCGCTATTTGGGAAGGACGAGTGTGTCATAAATGACCTCATGCCTCAACCATAGACAGCTGGTGACCCATTCAAACGTGACTGGCAAATACGGGCTTGTCCTTACGCCACGTAAAGGCCATCCTTAGATATGCATTCGAGCTCCTTGAACAGCTGACGACATCTTTGCCAACCTTTGTGCGCCGATCACGTCCTTCTGTACACTTATTTCGAAACTTTGCTGGGGTCGCTGAGATAGCCTAGTGGTCGGTGTTTCCTTTGGCTTTCCTTCTGGCTTAAAAGCAAATCAGCGTATGCATGTCAGCAGAAGGCATGCCATGTAAAGTTTTACATTTTGCAGAGCAGGTAAGGTAGGATATCCACAAGACTGGATGGCATGCTGTTGGGGATTTCTCACATATGTTTTGGGGTCTCAATGCAGGACCATGCTTTCAGTTCATTCCAGCCATTGGTTGGTGTTTATTGTTTGAACATGTCCTGTACACTTCCATCCACGAGAGATGCCTATAAGCCATTGCGTGCTTGCATGAGGCGTATGTTCTCTGTGACGTGGGATTTATTTGATTAATGGTATGCAAAGTACAGGAGTGTAGTTTTGCAAAATATGCATGAGGTGGGCTGAAAAGGGAGAAATGGCTTGACTTGTTCTGTTGTTGGTGGGCTGAAGCTATGGCACCTGGAAAACTACATCTGTGACAGAGTCAGTCACTTATGTGAAATTATTTGAGACTGATGCTTCCTTTCGTATCGAGTTATCATCCCTTCAGAAGATATGCTTAAGTAATTGTGCCTAACTGCACGTTAAATAGCTGTTGTTAAGCCATGGGAGTCTACTTTCGTAGCTAGAGAAGTCCGTCATTGATTATCTGTTTATGAAATGACATCCAGGATTGGACTGGAAATGGCGGGGCCAGGGTATCGCCATGGAAGTGGCCGAGCTTTACTATGGCCCTCCCCCCCCCCGCTCAAAAATGTTCCCGGATTTCGGTCATGTTATTTTCAAGATTGTATCGTTAAATCACTTTCCTTCGCTCGTCATGAAGGGC